TCCAATGATGTTGCGTTCAAAAATGTAGTTGGAAACGTTTCAATAAGTGCGTTCGATAACACAGTAAGGTGCGTTCGAAGACAGTTCCATAAACCAATTCTGAACAATAATGTACCTACTTCGCCAGAAAAATATCAAATTTGTTCCATGATTGGGGAAATTATTTGGATTGATGAGATAATACAGTGTGTCCCAGATTCGCTTCTCTATACAGGGATCTCGGCTTCTATCATACCTACAGCAAAGGTTAAATGGGGAAAGATTTAGAGGAAGCTAAGTGCATTCAATAATCGGCTTCAGAATAACGATCGCTCAATTAGATTTAGAAATATCGGCGAAAAACCGAAAATGACGGATTTCGTTTCCTGCCAGTTAACCCGAATCGGCTAATTTGACAGATGTCAAAATGTGACATTATTCAGACACTTTTTCAAGACCAATGAGATAGCGTTCATGACAGGTTTCAATCGTCTTTTGTTATCCCGCAACCCACCTCAACTTCCATTTTTCTTATGGCCGCCATATTGGATTTCACGATTTTTGGAAAAAGCATAAAATTTCCAGTCTATTGATGTCTCACAAGTGGATAAAAGATTTGAGTATTATCGAAAAATCACACTTCGTTAAGTTAATGTCTGGCCAACGATTCTGAGGCTACGGGCCATCGGTGAAGGAAATGCAGTTGTAAAAAAAATGGCGACTTTATTCATAAACTACTTACCCAGCTGCGTGCGGAACTTTTCGGACGAATAATATCGTATTGCAACTCGTACACGAAAATCGACAATGACCAAACCACCGCCATTGGATATTTCAATGTAAGTCGATATTTCAAGATGGAAGGATAAAATCACGGGTACCCTGGCCAATAGCGAAACGTAAGCCTCATGACAACCGCATGGTTCCCCATGGCAACGGCGTTCCAAAAACTCCACCAATCAGGTTCATCCAGGCCGGATGTTAGCCAAATTGACAAAAGCTAATGGTATGGTAGAAAAGGTTTTCTTTTGAGAATAGACAGAATTGACCTATCTCGCATAAATAGAAAAAGAGAGCTAAATTGTAATAAATTCAAGTAATTAAAGATGACATGCGCGCGCATACACTATACAGTGTAGTCAGATTGTATTGTTGCAGAAAGTGTATGTAAACTTCGTTTGCACTTTTATTTTATGACAAATAATAGGTAATAGTCAGAAAACTAGATTCAACCAATGAAATTCACTCTGACTGGTTTGTGATTTCTGCAGAAATAGACCTATCATAAAATAAAAGTGCAAACAATGTTTACATACACTTTAAAGCTCTTCCTTTTTCTGATTTAGGCGTTGTAAAACACTTGACATTAAAATATCACTTTTTCAATGTTATAATATTCGATTTGTATTGTCTACATTTGTTCAGCAACAATACAATCTGACTACTCTGTAGCCACGAATTGCGCGCGCATGTCATCTTTCATTACTTTCTAACTTGTATTTATTACAATTAAGCTCTCTTTTTCTATTTATGCGATATAGGATAAGTCTATTCTGTCTATTCACAAAAGAAAACATTTTCTAAACATACCATTATCTCTTGTCAATTTGGCGAACATCCGGCCTGGATGAACGTGATCGGTGGCGTTTTGGGCAAACCGTTGTCATGGGGAACAATGCGGTTGTCATGGGGCTTACCTTTCGCTATTGGTCAGGGTACCCGTAATAGGATCGTTTCATGATTTTTTTTATTTTTTTATTGAATTAAGCACATCAAAAACTATTCTTGGTTTTTTTTCCGCATTTTTTAGAATGATATTAAAGGAGATATTTCAATTTGAAATTTTACTATTTTCCGTTATTTTTTAAAATGGTTTGACGTCACAAGGCGCGCTTGCGCCCTGTATTTCGAAATTTAAGTTTGCATCACTGACACAATTTGCTAGTTGTCTAGTTGGCTACCCTGCGACTGGCATATGTCCGTCTTCTTTTAGAGTTTATGTCATATGTCAGTTATTTTTATTTGTTATTTATTTTGATTCGCCTGTCTAGACTGGTTGATTTATAAAATAAAAAATAAATACTTATTTCACCCGTTTATTTGTTTGGTTTATGTGAGAAGATGGATAGTGGATTTATTAAAGCCTCTAGCGAAAATTTACCTAAACTAAATTATGTGATGCTGCAGGAGTTTTTTGCCAAAAATAGATTATTTAAGTGCAGAAATAAGAGGAGTCAAAACAGAAAGGTGGGTAATGAAATATTGGCATAATTATTGTATTGGTTTAGCTTTGGCTCATTATTATATTACATTTTTAGTAGCAGGGTAACAGTTTTATAGTTTCATATATTTTTAGGTCAGCGAGAGACAGTTATTGTGGGTGACGATGCTATTGGGTGTGTGCAGTTGAAAAGAGACAGCAGAATATCCTCTGCTGAAGTTGAATGTCCTAGCAAGGAGGAGACTGTGAAAAACTACATTAAGAAAAATGAAAATATAATGACGAAATACATGTGCCAACTTCAGTTACAATTATTGTTATTGTGTAACAGACAAAAAGGACTGTTTTGTGTGGCAAAACCCAAATTTGGGGAGGATAATGAAATGACAATGTTTGAATTATACTTAAACATTAGGTTTCTCAAAGTAAATATTGAATCAGCTGAAGAATTTTGGAAGAAAAATATATTTTCAGTCATTTTGAATAAAAATATATGATTGATTTGGGAGTCTGGTAGTTTTCTTCTTTACATTATTTATGCATTAAAAGTACCCTTTTAATCTCTAAGGTTAAATTTCACTTTTTTTCCCAAGGGATTAACTTTTCACTTTATTTCTCATGGAGTAAATGGAACAGGGAATAAAAGGATACTCCGAGCCGAGGGAATAAAAAACACTTTAGTCCTGAGATGTATACACTATTTTATGTACTTTAGAGGGATCAAAAGTACCCTTTTAATTCTGAATCCCTAAAGTGCATAAAATAGTGTATACACCTCAGGACTAAAGTGTTTTTTAATCCCTCAACAAATTATAGCCCTCCCTTTTGGATTAAAAGTACCACTTTGGTCCCTAGGTGTATAATGTACTATTTTGGCTGTAAAAAAAAAACAATAGGTTTTTTTTATACAATATATTCAAAAAAGCATTTTTTTCTAGCTCTGACATAAAATTTATTTGATTAATAGTCCTTGCAAATTCACTATTCCACAAGCAATAATTATTAAATAATCAGTTTTTGCTACAAGCTGATGGTCAATGCAGGAATGTCCTTCGAGTATTGCAAATTCTCACAATCTTTGTATCACTCTTTCAATATGGATTCGTAAGCTGGCAACTCTTTCATTCAGCTTCTTAACAAACTTCGATTCTGCCTAAATTGATATGTGAAACCACATTTTTCTTCATACGTAATTTGCAGTTTGTCATCCTAAACTGCATCCAGTTATCACAATCTTTTTCCATCTATAAACATAAGGCATTTTTTAGCGAGATCCCAGTGATAACCGTTTATACACGGTAACACTCCCACTTCAAAAATATATCCCTACCATTGGCGGATTTCTAGGATTAAACCGTTCCTCGCTAAAACGGTTATCAAAATTTTACAGTAAAGTGAGGTTAGCTTATTTTTTGTGGTAAACAATTAAACAAACATAAGAAAATGAAGTCAATAATTAAGTCTTTATTACTGATTGACGATGTTATGTTTGAAAACACCTTATATATTCTAATTTCGAAGTATTATCGAGTCAATTATAGTGGTCCCTTGAAATGTATATTAAGAGAAAATCATGAGAGACAGCTTATAGACCATAATATGTGGATTCTTCGTTATAATGATATTACTTTTTTCCAATTATTTCGTATGAAAGCCAGCACCTTTGAAAATCTTCTTACAAAAACCATGAACAAAGATACAAATAATGTTATTAAAAAAAAAAGTACAGAGGTGGAAGACAACCTGTTGAGCCTGACAAAGCTTTGCTGATTTTTATAAGGTATATGGCATCCCAGGAAACTTTACATTCTCTAGGGGACAGATTTAACATGGTACCTGCAACAGTGATGCACATAATTAATGGTTTTCTGTTTCTCGTTGTTTCGCTGAAGAATGAGTATATTAGATGGCCCAGTACAGTGGATGAGTAGAACCATATTATTGATGGCTTTGAAAGTTATCCAGGTGAAATTGGATAATAGTTATCAGAAATTTAGACGTTTTATCAAAATCCCCCTCATTATTAAAAAAAAAAAACTCATATCATATAGTTGGAGATGCTGCGTTTCCTTTGAGGACTTGGCTAATGACTCCTTACTCCCGAAACACAAACTTGACCGTTCAAGAAAGATATCATAACAGAAGATTAAGTTCTGCAAGAGTAAGAATAGAGAACACATTTAGTGATGTGAAGCAAAGGTGGGCAAGACTCAGGTTCATCAATACATACAATATTTCAAAATCTATAGAAATTGCGACAGCTGCTTGCATCTTGCATAACTATTGTCTTCTGCTACATGACGAATGGCCAGAAAAAAAAATATAATTGTCGACGAACACAATAGAGAGTATCGAGGAGATGAATTTCAAGTTATGGGGCAAATAAAGAGACAAGGAATTACTGAATTACTTTGGGAAAATGGACAGATAAACAATTGAAGAAAATAAAAATAATAATTGTTTTTTTTTTTATTATATAAGATGTATATTGTTCCGTAAATAAAAAAACTTTGATAAGAAAAAAAACTCTATTTTCATCAACAAAATAAACTTTGTTACAATTCTTTTGTTTTTACAGTTGGCTGTGGAAAAATTAGAAGTTACTGATGGTAGCCAATGAATGAAGTATTATTCGTTAACAGTTTCCACCACCAACTCTTGACAAAAAAGATTGTACTAACAAACAAAAACTTCAATTCAAGTATTGAAAAAAAAATAAAAATAGGAACTTCTAATTAGACTAGAATAATGATAATAATGAAAAAACATACACTCTACTACTAAATAAACAAAATCTGGATCACTTGTTTTTCAAACAAAAGGATTTTAGTGAAACATTAATCGGAATCGGAATCAGAACTATCAGACCTCTTTCTTTTTTCTTGGAAACCTCATATGTAACAAGCCGTTCAAATTGATTTAGGAATCTTTCCCTCTGCTCATTTTGGCTCTCTATCATTTTTTTTAACTCTATATATTCATTCTCTCTACTAGTTTGTAGTTCCTTGTGTTGCTGTTTCATTACATCAACAAGAACAGCATTGGCACTTTTAGGCTGCAGAATTCTATTGCTCTTAAACCTAAAAAAAAAAGACATCATTGAAACAATTTTGTACTGTGTAACTCTCATTAGAGTTAAACCATAGGTACTCATCAAGGTACCTACTTATACTAATTTGGGTAACAAAAACAATTATTATTGAACCTACCTATTTTTTATCAGGGTAGAAGGGTCTCCTTTAGGTGTTCCTTCTTCAGATTTTTCAGTATTTTTTTCATGTACTTCTTTTTCTTCGCTATTATTTTCAATATCATTCATTGAAACGTCTGACTCATCCAAGCTGTCTTGTAGATTTTGTGGGTAGACTTTATCCTTTTTACCCAATATGCCATGCATCTGGCTAAAAAAAGATGCTTCGTTCTTTTTTTTTTACCAGTTGCATTCATGTGTCTTATATGCTGTAAATATTGTTTCTGTAAATTTGCAAACTTGAGTCTGCACCTTTCAGCACCCTCTCGTCTATCGCCTACATTATACCCTGCATCATTTAACTTGGATGCAATCATACTCCATAAATGACTTTTCACAGTTTTTTTGTCATCAAATTTATCACTCAGGTCTTTTCGGAATTGCAAAAACAATTCAGTGGCCGCAATATCTGTTCCTGATGGTTTCATACTGACCCATACCATCTTGTTAGGAGCTTCTAGTGGTGTCTCGAGTGGTGTGCTTTCTTCTTCCATCAAATCATTCAAATCGTCAGCATTTGCTGCATTCGGCAACAAGAAGTTTTTCATGAAAGCTGCCATTGCATCTGGATCTAAAAAAAATTATGGTAAGATCATTCGCTAAGGTAATAGTAATAAGTTAAATAATATAAGAACTATGTTAAGGGGCTATAATATAAGTATCATACAATTAGGTAATACATATTATTATCTTACCATTGAGTAAAATATTTGCTTGTTCAAGGGGTACAACAACTGTGTAGTCTTCCCCTTCAAAATTCAAAAGCAGTTCTGTTAAATTATGGTCTCCTTCAACTTCATGACTACTACCAGCGACTCTGGTGAGATCTTCCATTTTTTGATATCGTATCGTCTATTAACAAAAAAAGCCTCGGAAAAAACTCAGTTATGCACATCAAAACTATTGGTCCAAGAGCCCAGAGCCGCCAGACACAACTTATTTTCTAAAGGACAGAATATGTGGGATTGAGTAGCACTTATAGGTACTATGAACGTATGTATACTCGCTAAGTTGGGTAGACGGCCAGTTGACTGTTATTTGTAAATAAGGGTTTTTCCCATTATGGGAAAAACCGAATCCCATTTCTACTCTAGCCTGAAGTAGACTGTAAGTTTAAGAGGGGGAAATAGATATCTCGCTCACTCTCAAACGCATGCATAGTAGTACCCTCGCGCTCACACTCACGGAAAAACTATTATTGCGTCTGGGGGGATGTTTGGCCGGTGAGATTGGTCTGGCTGAGCACACGTAGTTATGAAATAGTCTCCCCAATAACATGTATAAAAATCAAGCGTTAGAAAAAAAGTTAAAGTACTTCTTAAGCTTTCGCACCTGGTGTCGGTAAATTGGCCGTCTACCCAACTTAGCGGGTATACATACGTTCATAGTACATATAAGTGCTACACAATCCCACATATTCTGTCCTTTAGAAAATAAGTTGTGTCTGGCGGCTCTGGGCTCTTGGACTATATTCAAAACAATCACAAATAAATCTAAGGTTAGAATTTTTCAGTTACTCAACTCTCGGCTTGGGTTACAAAAACAATAACCGTGTTATAGAATGATGGCGCCACTTTATGACAGCAAAACGCCTTCCCCTATCGGTTATTGATTTCCTGTAACCGCTTGTAACACGGGAACTAACGAGAAGTCGCTAAAAAATGCTTATAATATAATGTTCAGATTTTTGAAATAATGTAAAACAGAAAATAGGTGTTTATAAAATGAAATTTGACAACTAAGTTTACTTACATTGAAATGATCTTCGCAGCAATAAATTCCACCAGAAATACTAGACCATATATTAACTCTTTCCACAGCTAAACACCAACTTCTTCTTATTTGTTCATTTTTGGGGTTTGGGATTTTCTTCGAATTTAGATTACTGTTTTTACAAGAAGGCACAAAACATTTACGAAAATCCATAGCCAAAATGTGAACAATAGGTAGGCCTTAGGTGGGTACACTGAAACTGAAATGCATGCTCTATTTGAGTCCTTAACATCAAATAATGAGAAACAATGACTTACCTTGAATTTATTACACGTTTCTTTTAAATATTTTTCTTGAAACCTCGGAAAAACCGTTGAAAAACTCAAAAAATAATGAAAATATAGCAAGGGTCAACGACAATCCAAAATAATAATAAAACAACATAACCTCACAAAATTGCATATGTTGATGGATTTGTTTACAACTGCTTTGCGCATGCCCGCCTAGTGACGTCATGGGAGAAAGAGACCAACAATTCGACAAGGACAAAAAATGTTTAAATTTTAAATTAATTTAAATAATCCAGGAAACAATTTTCAATGCAACCAATATGACATGGCTAAGTTTTAGGCCTCACTATATCGAAAAATAATGGTCAGTATAATTTTAATGATACGAGGTAATGACCCTATTGTATCCTTCCATCTTGAAATATCGACTTAATTGAAATATCTAGTGGCGGTGGTTTGGTCATTGTCGATTTTCGTGTACGAGTTGCAATACGATATTATACGTCCGAAAAGCTGCGCACGCAGCTGGGTAAGTAGTTTATGAATAAACTCAGCCATTTTTTCTACAACTGCATTTTCCTCACCGATGCCCCGTAGCCTCAGAATCGTTGAGCAGACATTAACTTTACGAAGTGTGATTTTTCGATAATACTCAAATCTTTTATCCACTTGTGAGGCATCACTAGACTGGAAATTTTATGCTTTTTTCAAAAATCGAATAATCCAATATGGCGCCCATAATAAAAATGAAAGTTGAGGCGGCTCACGGAATAACAAAAGACGATTGAGACATGTCATACACGCTATCTCATTGGTCTTGAAAAAGTGCCTGAATAATGTCACATTTTGACAGCTGTCAAATTTTCCGTTTCGGGTTAACCGGCAAAAGACGAAATCCGTCATTTTCGGTTTTTCGCCGATATTTCCAAATCTAATTGAGCGATCGTTATTCTGAAGTCGATTATCGAATGCACTTAGCTTCCTCTCAAACTTCCCCCATTTAACCTTTGCTGTAGGTATAATAGGAGCCGAGATCCCTGTATAGAGAATCGAATCTGGGACACACTGTATATCAGATAAATAAAAACATACCTATTACATTACTGAAAGGTATAATGTATTTTTTGAAGCTTGTAATCTTTGAGTTACCAGTTGTTTATTTCAATAATTTTTTCTATGAACTTCTATAGGGAAAATCCGAGCAGAATAATAATAATCCTCATGCTTGATTAAAGTTAAATATGCGTCTTTGTAGGTTTCGAACAAATCCAGAGCGCAGGCGTATATGGATTTGCCTTCTAGGATTAGAAAATAAGCGACTACCCAAAATCGCTGATGTTTGCTCAGATCATATTATCAATGATTAATGCTTGATTAATCAATGATATATGCACTAGGCCTAATGGATTTAGATATTTGAAATCTGGTTCGGATTCTTTACCTGTTTCCAATGTTTTCAATACTTCAAAGTAAGTTAAATATTTGATATAGTTCCTACATATTAGCTATTTATTTCCAGTTCAGACCTCAGCTCAGACTCTTCAGTCACAGGGTCTCCAGTCTCCTCCAAAAACAAAAGTAGTGTAAGTAGATGTTGGTTTGTATAAAAAAAAAATATTGAATTATTTATTGCTTATATTATGCAGACTACAAAAAATGAATTGGAATGATTTTATAATCTAAAAAGAAGATACAAAATATTATCCTGATTAAGAAGGTTATGTGATTTTAACTAGTTCAGTTTCCAAGCTCAAAATTCAATATTTGTCAGATAGGGCAAAACACTTATTAAATTATTTTAGATTCCAAGGACTGAGTGTACCCCATTGTATCCTGATGTTCCTCCAAGCCTGTGGTTAAAACAAGGGATTGCTCCATTATAATTTTTTCTTTTTAGAATTTTTGATGCTCCGAGTACTTTCAAATGCCTGACAGTGCTCTCTCAGTCCTCATCAACTACCTCAACAGTTTCAGAAACTGAGGAACAAATATTGAAGAATGTAGTCTCATAACCAGACGTAGGGACCCTTTTTTTGTATTAATTTTTAATGTAACATGAATTTGATTGATCTAAAACTGCTGTATTTATTTCATTTTAGATAGTAGACCTAATTCCTAAGATCTGTATCAAAAAGATTTATTGATCAAAAGTTCCCCAGAATCTGTTTTGTTTTCATGTTTCTGCTAATGAAGCAGAACATTTTTTTTTTTAATTTGCTTAATTTTTGTCACTAAATAGAAATATTCAGGCCTGTATCCTCTCCTGTTATTTTAACAGTTGTGTTATAGGTCAAAATCCATACCTGTCTCTATTTTTACGTGTAAAATAAACAATGACAGATAACTTAACGTTGCTGTTAAAATAACAGAAAATGATACATCATAGGCCTGAATTTCATCATTTACCTTCCTTCCGCACGCCTATGATCACTCAGGTGAGGTAATAAAGCAGGTGGAAAGCTTTCTAACAAAGCGACGTTGAAATCCTTTAGAAAAAATACATTTTTCCCTAAATTTAAGGAAATTTCGGCTTAGAATGGGCGTTGTCAATGGCATACAAACAATAAAGGATTTATGATTGGTATGCTCTATAGTTTTTTTATTTACGACTGACATATAATGTAAGTATTATATTTGTGATTTTGGCATTATAATGCCATATATTATTCCCGCAGGGATTAATGGTCATTAATCCCGCTTGCACTCCAATCACAAAATTTCTCAAATTAAATAAGTAGTACTACCATGGATACAATATTCCTGAACAAACTCAAAAGTGTCAGTGTCAAACGTGTAGTGCTTGTGTATTTGTATTGAGATGGATGAACAAAGAGCGTTTTTGGAAAGGAAAATTCAAATAAATTAATTTGTCGTAAATAAAGTAGAGTATACTACTCGCAATAATGGCTATTATTCCCTCGGAATGTTACTCCCTCGCCGCTAGTGCGGCTTATTTCGTAAATATTCCTCGGGAATAATAGCTATCATTATTGACTCGTGGTATAATCTACTATTATTCCTCTGAGACTGCGCTCCTGTTTCGAGAATAAAGTCCCTGCTGAGTGGCTGAACTTAGCCGCTGGCAATGCCTGAATGGACCCATTGCGAATATATCACTTAACTTTAAAGCCCGTATTACATCTGTGTATTTTTACGTGTATTTATCCATGTAGTTCAGGTTGCCAATATTATTTTGTTTTTCATAATGCTGATTTAGGTTGCGTTTGAAGTTTTTCGGTTGTCGCATAAGAATAGTAAAATAATATTTTGAATAAATCAAATCTAATTGAGCATAGTCAATTGATATTGCGATAATGTTAGATGTGATTGAGAATAGTCAAACGTAATTGCCAACATACCAAATTTAATTGATAATAGTTAGGTGTAATTGCGAATATATCATATGTAATTGGGGATAATCAAATAAAATTAGGAATAAATTTCTCTCATCATGAGTTTCAGTGTATGTATTCCACCTGTTACTTCAATTTAGAGCATTTCCTTCTATGAATATATCCATTGGTTTTAAAGTTTCAACATTATCAAAGTTTTAGTAATTATTTTTTTAATTTATAATTTGAACTTATTCAGCAGCAAGGATTTACAAGGTAATAGAGACAATTCGATGTTTAGGGCAGAGGAAAGCCTGGAAAATCC